CTTCCGACTCCCCCACTCTTCCTTTCCCACCCCCACAAGGCATGCTTTAAAAATCTGCTGCGAGGCTGCTGGGGGCAGGCGTTAATCGTTCTTGGACAAATAAACCTTATGGGTGTTTAAAGCCAAAAGATCGAATATTTAAAGCAGAAATATGAGCTGCGACTTCTATGGTGTCTGTGAAGGGATGCATAAAGCTGCTCAAATAGATAGCCTTTCACAGGACATACAGACCCGCTTTGTGCATTTGCAAACGTGCAGGAGAAGGGCCCCGAACTTGCACTTTGAGCCTCCTTCTCCTTCGGAAATCAGTTTAAATAGAAGAGGAATAAGATAGTTCATTCTTCCATGGGTTTTTAAAAGGCGATCTCACAAATACTTCTTCGCTTGTAGAAGCTTATGCTCACTGATTCATTCAATATAAGAGGTGAATTAAACCATCCCAGACAGGAAAATAGAGGCCAAAACAAGACTGGATTCCCTGGAAGGTGGTGAAGCAATGAATGCTGTGACAAAGCGGGGGTTTTCGACGGTCCCACGCATGAGATCCCTGGCGCTGGGTTGAGTTCTTGGGAGGTCACAGAAGGATGGAATGTTACACGGGTGAGCTCTAGTGGATGACTTCATGGATGATGTGGATTTTAGACTAGTAGCCTGGGAGAGAATTAGACTTCCTAAAGAACCCAAGACAGAACAGCTGCCAAGAGGAGAAGTAGGTCTCGGTGAGAGAATCAGCATGATTGGAGCAGGGCCGTATCACCCCATGGAGGGGTCCCTTTTCTCCTATGCGGAGTGTCGGGGACTTCCCGGGTGTGGAGTAACTGGCAAGAAACAGAGAGGAAGGACATCCTGACCTCTGCTCCAGCTGCAGCTCTCACCACGCCCTGCTCTCTCTTAAAGCCAGCTGACATGGAGAGAAATTGTGAAGGTCCTCAGCCTCTCGCCTCTCTACACCTATTCTATGACCTTAGAGGGATGTTTTCCAGCAAGTGGCAATCAACGTTGATGTGTATCACATTGTTGGTTTTTAACGTAAGTACAAAGACTATTTTACATGGAACCTATGGTTTGTCCAGTGAGTGGAGAGGCTACGCTGGGAGCTTACAGAGTTTGTAGGATAGTTGAACTCAAATATATGTTAACTATGTAGAAATTAGAAATGTAAATCTGACCTTAACGAACTCCTTGGATTCTACTAATTTTGGACTTGGCCAAGATCACGAGCACATCACTTTTTCAATGCATCCTTTCTTCTCCATTTGCTTGTAGAATATAAGTAGGTCAACAGCCCTGGATTTATAGAAAACTTATATTTGTGTAAGGTGATTGACCAAGATAATGGGGATGGTTTGGATAAACACCACAACCTTTCGGTTTTCTTGGATAACAATCTAGAAAGGTTACAAAGCAATTCTTCCTATTGTGCTTCATTATGTAATTCCAAATATCTATAGGATGGGAATTATTATGCCCACCCATTTTACAGTATGGACAAAAATGGAAGCTCAGGAGAATTTCATTCAGTGTGCTTCACAACATGCAACAACTATTCTTGGGGGACCAATTTGTGCCTAGGCACTTAACAATACAAAGAATGGTTTTAAAAAATATTAATAGCTATGACCTTGTAGAGTCGTTCGTCTATTTGAACTATTAGGTAGAAGAAAACATTGGTAATGGCATGTGGTGAGGATCTGCTGCTAGGCAAAACCATACTAGATACAGATGAATGCAAGAAGAATTGCCACATTTGCTTGCTGCGAGTGAGCAGTCTTGTCAAAGGAGATCCTAGCAAGGGGTCTTGATAAAAAAAGTTTGCCAGAGTAGAGAAATCATAAAGGCAGAGAGGTGGCAAGAGCAAGCAAGAGATGGCTATCACGATCAACTGGAGAAATACCAACAGCTTCAGCATGGCTGTGAAGCAGAGAAGGGAAGGAAGGTGAGGACTCGGAGAGGCGGGAACAAGGTTTCAGTTGGCGTGTGGTGGGTTAGGGAAATGAATATTTCAGGAGGCTCAGACGATATTCACTCCTAGTTGTATCCATGTAGGCTCTCCATTTTCCAAGATCTCTTTCTTTCTGGTCCAAAATGGCTGCTCTAAGATTCAGTCACACAATCCACATTTCTAAGCAGCAGGTAACAAAGGAAAGGAAAAGAAAAGAGGAACAAAGGCAAATGCCAGCTGCTTGTAACGGAGATTCATGGAACTTGCCATTAGGACATTTAGCTGTTATAGCGTTCATTGGCCAGAGTAGTCCATGCCACACCTACTGGCTAAGGACTTCTGAATAGACTGCTGGTATGGTGACAATATGCTCAGGGTTGAAAATTTGTGGGTAACTAGTTAGTATAGAAAACAAGAGAATGGAATTTGGGGAAGCGACAGCTCGCAGTGTCTGCCATGAGCGGAAGGGGAAGCGGAATTGTAAAGGATCCTCGAATTATGTATTTTTTTATTTCAATACGATTTAGGGTGCCCAGGTGTTTTGGTGTTACATGGATGATTTGTCATACTGCAGGAAGATTAGGGCTTTTGGGAGTACTTGTCACCAGAATTAGTGCTACCAGTTGCTACTCAATAGTTAGATTTTTAGACTTCACCACCTACCCTCCATTCCCTCTTCTTAAGTTTTCAATACCTTAACACATTTATGACCATATGATACCCCCTTCATTTTTTAACTCCACTTATAACTAACGAATATGTAGTGGTTGTTTTTCTATTCTCGTTGAGATCCTCATTTATAATGGGTCTCCAATTCCATCCACGTTGCTGCAAAAGACATTATTTTCATTTTTTTTGTAGGCTGAGTAATACTTCCATAGTGGTGTGTGTGTGTGGTTGTGTGTGTGTGTGTGTGTGTATACACACCACATTTTCTTCATCCACCATCAGATTGGATGGGCACTTAGGTTGACTTTCCAAATCTCTGTAATTGCTGAATTGCTGCGGTTATAACATTGGGGTTTAAAAAAAGACACGCTGAATCAGTTGATTGAAGCTTGGAACTTTGCCCTCTGGGCCAACAGGGTTGTTTGAAGGGTTTTAATCAAGGAGCTTCGGATGCCATAGGGTATTATATTACCATGTTTCCTGGAAAATAAAAAGGGCCTGATATTTATTTTTCCTCAAAGGAACCTAGGGCTTATTTTCAGGGGATGTGTTTACTTTTTAAGTACGAGTACAACAATCTACATTTATTCAGAATATAGTGTAAGTGTCTTCTTCTGGAACATTCATCTGACTAACCTCCTAAACCCGATTCCATCTGAATTCTTGCACACTCTTCTTCCTTTAGAACCATTGGGCCTCAATCTTTCATGCTCGAGCAATAGGGGGTCTCTCATGGGGCAGGAATGGAGAGAGGCTGCTCGTCTTCTTACCCTACTGCTGAATGGAAATGCATGTTGGGTTGTGCAGATACACTCGGCAGCCACGGGGCGCCATCACTAGGTGCTTATTTTCGGGGTATGGCTATATTGCTGCAAATGCTTAGAGATCCTGGTAGGACTTTATGAAAGAACTATGATCAAGGTAATAAATGAGTAATCAGCACAGGAGAGAAAAATAAGGTGAGATGAAAATTCAGAAAAGGGAGACATCACTTCTGGCCAAAGGAAATACAGAGTAGAAAGATTTCTTAAAAGTATCATCTATCACCCTCCAACTCCTAGTTTAAAAGCCTCACACAGTTATTAGCTGCATGACCTTGGGCAAATCATAAATTTTCTGTGTCTTCGTTTGCTTATCTTTTAAAAGGACAGGTTGGACTAAATGATCTTGAAGGTCCTTTCCGCTCTAAAGTACTGGGATACATAATTTTTCATGAGATGGGCCAGCTAAATATGTGACAATCTATTCTTTATACAACCGGAGTAACTCTTTAAGCCTAAGAAAGATCATGTTACCTGTGGCTTAAAACCCTTTCATGGCTGCATTTCAAAGAAAACCCAAAGTCTTTGTGGTGGCACGAAAGGTCCTGCAGGGTCTGGCCCTGCTGTCTCTCCAGCCCCACCTCCACCGTCTCCTCCTCTCACCTCTGCTGTTCCCCCGCAGGGGCCTCCTTCCTTTCCCCTGGATGCACCACTCAGGACCTTCACACGTGCTGTTCCTCTCCTGGGAATGCTTTTCCTCTTCTCTTAAAAAATGTATATTTGTATTAGTGGGTGTATGCATACAATTTTTAGGAAAGAAGCAAAAATTTACAATTTGAAAGAGTCAAATGATATTATAGGATTAAAACTCAAACCCACAGGGTTGGGAGACTGGGAGGAGTAGAAATCATATGTTTCAGTGTATAGACTTGTGCTTAAACCCTTGTTTTCATGCACCCCAGGTATGGAGCCATTCCAGTGCGACTTCTCCATGAACAATAATATTCTGGAATTCCAGCCGGGTGAGGGAGGACAGTTGCCTGGACCTGAGTAGGTGGGAGGTAGGAGTCCGGGGGTGTGAGTGTGCCTTCTACTGATTTTCAAACCGTTCCTCTGATTCCCCCCACACCTCCATCCCTGTCTTCAAGAGACCAGGCACCTTCAACGGCTGAGACTTTTCTAGGGGCCTTTGACGCTGTGACTTGGCAAATCTGACACTGGCCTCATGTTTGTTAGCACCTGGTATTTAGCCTTCTTAGCTCTGCTAACTCCTCCTTCCACATTTTATCTTCCAAAAATATGTTCACTCTTTGCAACCATGATTCTCTCTCTTGTCACCCATGTTGTGTCTTTCTGAGCTTCTATCTCATTAATTCTTTTTATACTCAATTTCAGAAAGGTTTGTAGGATGGTGAGAAATAAAGAATGCCTTGCGCCTTCCATGTCTAACTGGAATGCCTCTTCCCTTATCTCAGTTGAGGTTTTTCATCATTTTGGCCATCAGCTTAAAAGCCAGAGGTGGGCTTCACTGACTCTACCACGTCTAAGTACATCCTCCTGGGATAGTGTATTGTAAACAAACAGCACCTTGTTTGTTTCCTTCATGACGTATAATATAATTTTAAGCTACACCCCGGTTTATTGACTTACTGATTTTAGATAAATATATTGATTACCTTGTTTAAGGTCTGTTGCTCCCAGGAGAATGCAAACTCAGGGAAGGCAGGGACCATGTGTGATTTCTTCAACCAGTTGATGCGGAGAGCTTAGCATGGTGCTTCCACAGGACAGGTGCTCAAGAATTCTTATGGATGAATGTTGACAAACACGAGGATCAAATCTTAGACTCCACTGATAAAGTGCCACCAAGGCAACAGCAGACCAGAAAGACAAAAGACAAAGACGAGCAAATTACATAAGAGCATGGACTCTGGAGCCAGACTTTCTCTGCCCAAACCCTAGAACCACCCACTCACTTAGCTGTGTAACCTTGCAGGAAAATTGCATAAAAATGGAGACGGGAGGTAATAGTCCACCTACCTCATGAAACTGCTGTCACGATTAGAATGAGTCAGTAGGGGTAGAGCTCTTAGAGCTACAACCAGCACATAGTTAGTGCTCCATCCGTGTGGTGTTGGCTATTAGGTACCAGAATATGTGGCTTTGGGAGGGCCTTGGCTTGCTGAAGATCCTCCTTCCAAGTTTTGCTCTGAAAATGTAAGGGTAAACTTCCAAAGAATATACACAAGTTGGTATTGTATGTGTGTTATGTTCAGAACCCGATTTTGAATTATGGGTTCTATCTTTTACGTTTTCATCATGTTCTCACTTCAGTTGAGTAATTTATAAGGTGTTTGGGAGTTTTCTGATAAAGCAAGCCCCAAACAAAAGACTCCTCCTTGAGGAGAAGGCACGGTGGGGAAGGTGGGGTGAAGGCTTATAGAAAGGAGGCGACTTGATAGGCTTAAATGAGTGGGAGGTTTGGAAGGAGTGGAACGTGAGCGTGAAGAAAGAGGGTTTGGATTCCAGACAGACTTTGGTTGAAACGCCAACTCTGCCGCTGCTGGCTGCACGACCACAGCAATTTGCTAGACCTCTTGCTGCCTCGGTTTTCAAAGCTGTAGTAAATGTTACACGAGACAATGTATGTACAAAACTTGGGGCAGTACCTGGGATGGAGGAATATACTCTAGTATTTAAATTATAGTCATTATTAGAAATATTCAAGTTTCTCCCACCACTGAGTCTGACTGGCTATGTGGTCTTGGAGGATTCATTTTCCTTTTCTATGTCCAACAGGCTACTCTCTGGAATCAAATCACCCATTAGATTTCTTTGCAGCTAGGGAGTCAGAATTCTGCCAGTGCCTACCCCTCCCGCCCCTATAAACCCCAACCACACACACACACACACACACACACACACACACAAAACTCCTGGGATCTTAGGCCTTTTCCAACTTTTGCTAGAACATTATTTCTAAATTTTTGTCTGCTGCTGTACAAAATTAATCTACATTATAATGTGAAGGTCTGGGGACGCCCTCCTTCCAAGATGGCCTCCATTGATTCCCACCTCCTGGTGTTCACATTCTCACGTTGCACCCCCCCCACACACACACACACAGTGAATAGAGCTGACTTGTGTAACAAATAGGGTTTTTCAGAAATGATAGTGTAATTTCTGCTACTAGGTCATGAAAGACATTGAGGCTCCCAACTTACTCCTCTGTAGACCCCTCACTCTTGCGGCAGCCAGCGGCCATGTCTGAAGGACACTGAAGCAGCCCCGTGGAGAGCTCTGTGTGGTGAAGAACCGAGGCCTCCTGCCAGCAGCCAGAGCTGACTTGCCAGGCATGACGGTGAGCTTGAGCCACCCAGCTAAGCCACTCCCAGAAACCTCACCCTCAGAAACTGTGTGTGACAATACATGTTTATTGTTGTAAGCCTTTAAGTTTTGTAGTAATTCGTTACACAGCCATGTACAACTAATACAGGGTTCCCTGGCACAATGTCCCGTACAATTGAGTCAGTTTACGAGGCAGACCTTCTGGCTAACCTTGGTGCTGGTTGAAACCCTATGAACTTTTCCAAAATCTTACTCATTTCTCTCCCTTTTTAGGTGACTGGCCTGTTTCCCAGATCCTAACACTTTGGATTACAGTTCTTTTTTATTGCTATTCTGAGTTCTTTTTCCCTTTCCAGGCCTTATTCTGAGGTTGCTTGACTACCTAGGCCTATTCCAAAGTCTGACAAGTTTCAAGGCCCTTCTCTTGCACAGGTATTTTCCAAGGCTCTGAGAGGGGTCCGTGCAATGTGTTCACGTGGTCATGTGGATAATAAAACTTGTGAGAGAGTAACAGTTAACTGTGATCAGTCAAGACCAGTCTCTGTACTACGATTTCCACTCTGTCATGCTGTCTGTCACAGAGAGTGGCATTAGAGTGGCCACAGGCACATTTAGCATCTGGTTAAGGGAAAGTTGAATTCAATTTGTGCTTAGTAGGACATATTTGTGTGGTTCCCAGGTACTTCCATGTAAAGTTAAGCCATTTCCCTCCTTCTCAGTGTCGCAATGGCTTCCAGCAAAACGCCTACCACCTGCTGTGCTAACCCAAAGGGGCATGACCAGAAGTCCTTTGGTGAAAATATGTCCTGCACCATGTCACACAGGTACCAGAAGCATATGAGCTGTGAAAGAGAAACAAGGCTTAAAATACACCATGCCAGGAGCCAGTCTGCAGAACATTCTTCCAATCTTCAGATTATGTAGATTGGCCGCATCCATACCTAGTCAGAACTATCCAAAATTTAAAAAAGAAACATTTTAATCATTCAGACACCAGAATAAAGAGTGAATTATTTTTCTGTTCACTCTAACAGAGAATTATATTACAAAGTCATTTTCACATGAAGAAGTGAATGACCCAAAAATATGCAGTCAGGAAAGTAAATAAGCAAAAATAAGCAGAATGGTATGCCAGGCAGTTAATTAGCACGCTTACTGTCCTTTTCTGGATTTTGTGATGTTTAGGGCATTTGTTAGCTTTTTAATATTTGCGATGTGTTGTGATTTCTATTTCTAAATAAATATACACTTTCGAACCTGATTTTGTATTGATGATTTTATCATAAACATGAGGTTTTGCCCACAAAACCTGGCTCTGCTGCTGCCACCTCCCCCTTGGCTCCAGGCCTGTGTAGGAAGGGTCCTTTATTTCCTGCCCTGGCAGCCTCTAGCTCCGGCTTTGATCTGAGCTGCTCTCTGTTGACTACCAAGCAGCCCGCATTCCCTTATCTCTCAGGATGCTCTGGCTCCTCTTCTTGTTTCAAGCCCTTCCTTCTCTGGGTGCATGCTCCCATCTCAATGAGCGAGTGTTGCTAAATCCTCTCTCCTGGAAGCCCAGCTTATTTTTGAAGCCCTCATATTCTTTTTCTCTGATGGGAGCCAATGGCAGCCCCAATTCACCCACTGACAAAGGGGGTCCTTCCAGGCCTGCTTTTCCCACCTGCCTCATGGCCCCAGTAACCCTGCCAGCTCCACCACAAGGGCAGGAAACACATCCTTCTTGCTCACTCATGCTTAGCACGGTACAGGCACACAGTATATGCTCATTAAATAAATCAATAGGCACATAGATGAATACTGCTGTAAAAATTAATCGTATGTGATCAATCATTATTTACAGTTCAAAATCTCCTAGCTCCAACTAGGCAAACTGCCCTAAAATCCACAAGCTTTGAGAGAAAGAATATATTTCCTCCATTGGGATATCCTCTTTGTTTTTCTATTGTGGAGCTTTTATCCCAAAGTTTTCTTCTCCTTCTCTTTTTCTACCCTTCCCCCTAGCTTTTCAGTCCCAGCTATCACACGCACACACGTCTATACTCACATGCACTGGAGGAATTGCCTGTGAATTGCCCGAGGCTTACGATTAGAGTTATGTAATTTACCACTTAAATCTGTCGTCCAAGTTGCTGTCGAAGTGAAATCTGGTAATCTGGTGAGAACCAAAGAAATCCGGCAGTTAGGGATCAGCGATGTCCTTGCGAAGGTAGGAGAGGTCGGGTTCCAGATGACAGTTTGCAGAAGATGAGAAACACTCTTCTTAAAACGGGCCTCAGGAGAGAAAATGCATGTCCAGGAACAAATCTCTGTCAGCTTTCTCACTGGTTAACAGGAAGGATGCCTTATTTTCCCAGTAATGATACATTTCCTTCATTGAGATAAGTGACCTCTGGTTTTATTTCCTTGCAAACTAGATTATAACCCTCTAAAATGAAACACCTCACCCCGTGATATTTTCATGGAGTGGAGTGGACAGCTGTTGCATTTGCCTGTCCAGTATCCATTACCTATTATTCTGATGGAGTCCGCTGGGTTTACGGTGCTGGAGGCTCACTCCATGCCTGGATCCAAGGGTAGTAGGCTCAGGACTCAAGCGGTATCAGACATTCTTGCCCCAGAAATAAAACTTGAATAAAACGTCAAACAATGAAAATCAGTGCAATTCTTTTATCCTAACCTCAGTGGCCTGTAGAAAGTGTCCATTTTTTCCTGGCCCCAGATCTTTGAAGCTGCCCCAGTTCCTGTACTAAGACCTGGCTCTTTGTTTTCACTTCCATACTGTGTGCTAGTTCCTCATTTTTTCTTTCTTAAGTGAATGTGAATTTCTGTCATCTGCAGTCAAAGAACCTGGCAGGTACAGTAATAGATGGAATGGCTCTGAGATGTCAAAAAGACCAAAATCTAGGACCAGACTTAGCTGTGATTATATAGCAAGAAGAGAAATTTGTTTCTCCAACCTCCCATTTCTTTTGCACTTTCAGCTTTTCTTTGAAGCCACAAATTCCTATTCCCATGTCAACACCTCCACAAACACTCAGCACCACTGTGCCCTCTCCATTTCTTCCTAGCAACACCTAGTCTCTGAAGTGCCACTGACCCCAGACGTCGTTTACTTGGTCAGTACTTTTTGAGCACCTACTGTCTGTCAGACTCTGTTCTAGGTACTTGGACTATATCAGCAAAAGGCCTGTTGCAGTGGGGCTCACATTCTAGGGGTGGAAGAGAGATAATAATCAAGTAAACTAATAAGTTAACAAAATAACTGGGAATGGTGATGAGTAGCATGAAGGGTGACATGATAGAGGTGACTGGATAGTCTGGAAAGACTTCTCCAAAGAGCAGACAATTAAGTGGAGACATGGATCGTTTGTGGGGACCAATGAAACAAAACATGGAGGGAAGGGAAGCTCTCCAGGCAAAGGAAACAGCAAGTACAAAGGCCCAGGGGCATGGACAAGCATAGTATGTTATGGTGATGTGTGTGAGGGTGAGAGGGACAAGAGGTTGGTGACCTGTGCAGGACATATTTAGGGGCTAGAGAATGCTGGGGTTGGTAGACTATAGTAAGAAGTTTGTATTTGATCCTTATTTCCATATAAAGCAGTAGAGGGACTGACACGATATGATTTATGTTTTTATGAGATTGCAGCATGGATAATCAATTGTAGAGAAACAAGATGAGAGGCATGGCAATAGCTATCACGGGAGATAACAGAGCTTGGGCAAGAGTGTAGACGGAGCAAAGTGAGCAGATATAGAACGTATTTTGGACATGGAGCTGCAGGCTTTGGAAAAGGATGAACAACGGTCCCATTTGCTAAGACAAAGGCAATAGAGGAGGTAGCGGTGTGATGGGGGAGGCAGAAATCGTGAGTTCTGTTTCAGTCATGTTGAGTTTGAGATTGCCCATCAGATATCCAATGGAACTGTCTGGAATCCTGTGGAGGAGCCAGGACTGACATAAAATTGGGAGTCACTAGCATAAAGATTGTGTTTAAGGCCGTGGAGCTGGATGAAATACCCCAGGGGCTAATGTAATGTGAGAACAGAGGAGAGCTATAGGCCAAGCCCTGTGGCAGTTGATTCTTAATAAATTGAGCCATTATTAGTAAATAACTTAATTAATAAACATTTCAAAGTTCTTAATGAAGATCTTAAGCCAGATCTTAGACCTTGATGAGTTGACAATCCAACATATTATTTTAAAGCATGTATTCATTTATTTTTTTAATAGGCTATTATTCCTCAAAAGAAATCTTATGGCTAATTCTGGCAGCTAAAATTGGAAGTGCCCAGGCTGTTGCTGTGTGGTGGCGGTGGGGGGCTGGTCCAAACCCTTAGGGTCCTACACCCTTAGGACCCCCTCGAGCACCTCCTCCTTAACACTCACACTCAAAATGGTCTCTCACTGAGGACTCCTGGTGGGTCTCTATAGCTACATGAATAACAGAGGGAAAAAATCCCTCCCCTCCTTCAAGTCTGTAGTCAAATGTCACCTCTTCAAGAAGATCTGACCTTTACCACACTACCAAAAAATGCAACCTGGCTCCACCTCTACCTTAGTTGTCCTACTACTTTTGGCCTGATGTTTGTTCAACACATATATCAAATGTTTACATACTACATGTTTTACTTATTATCATTATTTTTTCAATTGTTTGCTTCTCCTTGTCAGAACATAAGCTCCACAAAGGCAGCAAGTTTTCTTCTATAGACTGAGGTATCCCACACACTTACAAGGACTGTAGTGCCCGGCGCATAGTAGCGTTCAATGCGTACTCCTTAAATGAATGAATGAACTGATTTACAAAAGAGGCAGTATTCATTTATTCCTCAATATATACTGAATATATAGATAATCTAACCTGTACTAGATAATACAGGAAAACGAAAGGCATTCAGAAAATGAAATTTTAAAGGCCTTTGTCTTATTCTAGATATCATGGAGAATTTAATAGTGTCATATCTGATTCTAGAGAAGAGTAATGTTTTCTTTCTATTTTAAATTGTCACAGTGGTAGATTGGAACACTAGTTTCAGTTCTCCACTTGTAACCTATGAAAGCACTTAGCATCCACATCCCTTGCCACGGAACTTGGCAGCCAGTGCCTCTTTGTAGAGCAGGCGAGGCATTCGTCCCGGCCCTCGGACTTTACCACAGGCCTTGTTCTGGCCAGTGGAGTGTGAGCAGGTGTGTTTTGAGCAGAGGCTTTACTTGCCTTTGCATGGCCTGGCTTGCCCTCATGGGCATTTGCCATATGCCATGAGACAAGCTAGTCCCAGTCAGCTACTGGGCCCAGAATGAGGAACAGGTAGAGCAAACCTGAACAGATCCACAGTCCCAAGCCGAGCCTCCAAGCCGCTGCACAGACCCTCCAGCAAAAAGTAAATGTTTGTTGCTGTAAACTATATGGGGGCTGTTTGCGATCCAGAATTAGTGCATTAAAAATCTAATTATTATAGTCACAAATATAATTAACTTACTAATGGTGGCTCTCTTAGCTAGAATTTAAAATGGAAAGAAAATTCCACCTTTCATTAAAATCAGAATGAATAGACATTTCAAGGTTTTTCTTCTTTCCTTGAAGGTGAGCACACCAGAAAACCAAAAGCGAGGCACATTTCCTAAGGGAGACATGATTTAAGGTGTGTTCCAGTGAAGCCAGGAAAAAACCCAACGGCAAGAACAAGAAAGGAAGCCCAACCCCAACCAAGGCCCAACCCCCCCCGGCCGAACCAACCGAAACCAACAAACCAAGGAACGTCCCGCATCGGAATGCAAGGGCATCGCAGTAGGTGGCTGCTAAGGTAGCTTTCTGCTCTAACGTCAGATTCACCATTCTTGTGTATAATCAGAATAAAAATTATTACATAGCAGTAGATGAAAAGTCCTTTACTGATGGATAAAAATAAATGAGATTTTTAAAAGGGAATTTTAAAAATATTCCGCTATTTATAAATAG